CCCTTTTGCAGCTGACCTTTGCTATGGCTGCCTGGCCCCTCAGAGTCCTTCTGCCCTTGTTGTGTGTCCCTCAGGGCGCCCAGGTCCTGTCCTGCCAGTGTGTTTTGTACCGCAGCCATGCCCCCCTGTGCCCCTGCCCGGTGTGACTCCATGCCAGGAGCAGAGCTTTCCCTGTGCCCACCTTGGCCGTGCTGAGGAGCCGTCCTGTCTGTGCAGCCTGCCAGGGTCCCTGTGCACAGCCCTGCTGCCCCCCTGACCTGGGCTCGGGGCTCTGGGGGCCTGAGGGCCGCGCTCAGCCCGGAGCGATGGAGCCAGAGACAGCGTGGAGCCTTCTCTGTGGCTTTGGACGTGAGCAGCAGAACCAGACCCGCTCCTGGCTTTTCCTTTAGCCTTCCTTCTGCTGCTCATCTTCTTGCAGAAGGCTTCCTCATTGCTTTCCCCAGCCTCCAGACTGCTGTCGTTGCTTGCCAAGCTGTCGTTCTGTGACAGCCATAGAAGTTATCCAAAGATGTTTGTATCCCAGAATTTGTAGTGTTGCAGCTGTTCCTTGGTCCCTGATTCTGTCTCACCAGCCTTGCACATCTGTTTACAGGCAGGTGTTGTGGGGCCCCCACACTGTCTGCCATCATGTCATTCCTTCCACACTGTCCTCATTGCCCCCGCTTGCAAGTTGGCCATTTTTTTGTCATCACTGATAAAAAATCTTGTGAAAATCATAGATAAAAATGCATAATTTAATGACAATTGCTTTTTAGTAATTTATAAAAGTTTGAAGTGTTTGAATTTTCATAGTAGAAAGATAACTGCAGCCTCAAGAAGGACACTGTCTTACTAATGTTAATAGTAATCTCTTCGAGTTATTCATGGAATTCTAAGATCAAGTATAACTACATATGTTCAAAACCTTGGCTGATGAGATGCTGGTTCTGCTAGGTGCTTTCTGGAGTTTTGTCAACTAGATCAAGGCCAGAATGGAGAATTGAAGTATTGAAACACTCTTTTTACATTTATAGTTAGAACTTTAGTAGAAGAGTGTAGACCTGCACGGAGCTATGAACTTTTCTGTTAGGGCAGACCATGCAAGGGAAGGAATTAGGCAGGCTGCACAGATCCTTGTCCCATAGGCACTGTCATGCCTCCAAAAGATTATTCCAGTAGTAGGGTGAGAAAGCAAAAGACTTGAGAGCTCGCAAAACTGGCCTGAGTAAGCCTTTGATCTTGCACAAATCCCATCTTTGCTGTGACCATAACACATCCCTAGAGAAGAAAACAAACACAGCAAGTACAATTCTTCTCTCAAATGCTCTCCCAACCTGCGGCCATTTGCAGTTCAAGGAATTAGATGCAGTTTTGTCTTTGGCTGATTTTAAAGTGTTTGTGCTTTTTAGCATCTTGTAATATTTCGCATCCAGTTTGGTTAAAGGAATGGAATAGGAGATAACCCTTTCACTTTCATGTGATAAAAGATGTAAAAGCATGGAATAAAAATATGTATTGAAGGTTTCTGCTGTTTCTACAAGCTTCCTAGAAATTTGATTAGATCCTGGTGTAGTACCCGTTGAACCAGCCAGAAAGGCTGTATCACCTGTGCTGCATAGGCTCTATCCTAAGGACTCTGTAGGCCATGCTTCAGCCTGTGCCCAGGGCATTCACAGACGGACTCTGATGGCACTTGGCATTAAAGGTCTGAAACTGCTCTCTCGGTCCAGATCTTTTAATTGACTGTAGAACACCATCATTAATTTCTTCAGGCAAGGAACTGAGAAATCTTTTCATCTGTGCAGAACAAGAAAAAAACATTGAGGTGTTTTGTTGTGTCAAAAGATCTGCACTCAGTGCCTTGCTGCCCTTGCTCTGCAAGCTGTCTGTCAGTTCCTTGATGTTTCCAGGGTACTGCTTGCTCTTCACGCTCATGTTTCTTTTATCATGCAGCTGATACTAACATTTTGAGAAAACATATGAGCAGTTAGAACTATAATGGTTTGTCTAAAGCTGAACAGAGTTTTTACTCTGGTTTCTACTTTTCCAAAGCATCTGTGGTTTCTGCTTTTCCAGAGTTTTAGTCTTGCTGTAAGTAGAGCAGGTATTCTACCATCTCAAAACAAAAAGAGTCAGTTGAAAGAGACATTTATTTAATAACCTTAGTCTGTCTAAATACAGCAAGGAGAAACTTTGTCATCAGGCTGGAAAAGAAAATCATTAAGAAAGGGATGGCAAAAACCTGTAAAACATATAGCAAAGCTGCCTAGGGAATGTCTTCCCACTGCTGCTCCAGCAGTGGAGGGAAATGGCATCAAATGAAACTCACTTGTGGCAGGTTCCAAAGGAGCAAAAGGAGGTTTTTCCTCCTACATTGCCAGTGAGGTTCTGGAACGCTCTGCCTTGGACTGTTGCGGATATGAAAGGCAGCAACTGTGAGCCCTTGTCAGAGGCACAATACTAGGAGAGCCAGCTGTTGGCATGACCTCTGCAGTTGTTCTCATGTCCTTGTTCCACAGGGAACAGGTGCATGCCTGGTGTCTCTCACATAGGTGTTTGTGCCTTACACCAGATATAAACTGTAAATTTAACTGCAACTAATTCTGTTTCTAAAGCAAAACATGAATACCAACTCACTTTTAATTCCTATGGAAATACAGGAGTGAATATTGAATGAATGTTTTAGAAATAGAAAAGCTAGAGTGAATATTGTAGAAATAGAAAAGCTTGTCTAGTAGATCTATTTAGTTATTTACAGTACCTTTTTATTATTTTCCTGCATGAGTTATTCCAAATTAAGAAGCAACATTTTAATTTAAGGGTATACTTACCCATTTCTAAGCTCAGTTTGTTAGGTCATACTCCAACCTACTTCATATCCCCTCCTCTGCTAACTTCCTTGTAAAAGAGAATATAAAAAGGGGGTTTGTCAATAGAACTAATGTAGTTAACTAATGTATTAAAATATCAATAAAAGTTGTCAGGATTGTAAGTTGACACCTGATGGCTGGTCATGTTGAGACTTTGACATGGAAATTTCACCAATTTCACCAGCACAGGAAGATGTGCTGACAAAGGCAGGCATCCTACCTGGTATTTTTACTTACAATGGGTGACACTTGTTTTTAAAACACCCACTTGAACACACCCCACCCCCCTCCCCCTTTAGTTTGGGGGATGCAGCACTTTTCTAGTTTTTAGAACTCTAGGACAGATTCACTGTAGTTTGGATTGCCAAAAGTAGTCTCCCTGGCTGCTGATAGCTAAGGCTCTCTGGAAGAACGCAGCCATGGTTCAGGCTCTGTGGATTCAGGCGGGGGCTTCCAGAGTGCACCAGCCTCAGTTCTGTGCTCCTGCTCTTCGGTCTGTGCTTGTCCCGTGCCTCTGAGAGCTGAGCTGCTGTCACAGGGAGAGCCCCTCCGGGCACTCCTGTCCAAGGGCTGGGAATGTGTCCGTGTGGCTGTTCTGCAGCACGGCACATTTGTGCTCCCAGTGTTGAGGAATCCCGTGCTTCCTTCTCAGATCCGGGAGCTGGTTCCTGAGTCGCAGGCCTACATGGATCTCTTGGCCTTTGAGCGCAAGCTGGACCAGACCATCATGCGGAAGCGCGTGGACATTCAGGAGGCACTGAAGAGACCAATGAAGGTATGTTGTGAAAAACTTGGAGACTGTGTCAGGGGAGGAAAAGAATTCTTGTAGTAAATACCTTTCAAGCTAAAGTCTCATTAGCAGAAATGCTTTGGAGTGGGTTAGACAAAGCTCCTAAGAGCAAACAGCTGGGAATCAGCATGCATAGGAAAGTGGTAGAGAAAACTCAGTGGCTATTACCAGCTCTAGCTTCTGAAAGTCTTTAATAAGGGGAATAATAGCCTAGGGATAAATAAAGGATAGATAAACATTGGTTTGGGAACTTGGTATTAAAATGATAAAAAATGAGAAAATAAGAGATTAGAGGGATGTGCTGAAGGTATGTATTATGTTTCCAATTCAAATTTGGTCAAAAGTGGAACTTGTGGAATAACAGAGCATACGATGGGAAGAATTACTTACAGGAATTATTAGTTGTGTAAAAAAAGAATGGGTGACATTTTCTGCAGTTTCTATTACATAAAGTCCGATACTTCGCTCTTCCTAATATCCCACTGAAAAGATTTTTTCTAAGTTTTCTGAGTCTATTAATTGGAATCATGGAAGAGTTTAGATCGGAGGAAACTGGAAGTTTTTTAGTTCAACCTTCTGCTAAAAACAGGATTGTCAAGGCCTTGTTGAGTTTGAAAATCTGTAAGGATAGAGGTTTCACAGCCTTGTTAGGCAGTCTGTTACATTTTTTGCCCATTCTCATTGTGAAGAATTTCTTTTCATGTCTCATTTAAGTTCTTGTAACTGTATTGGGTAGCTCATACTCTATTCCTCAAATAATTCCCATAGAATGAAGGGTTTTGTAGCCATATGTCTGCTGTGACATAAAGCTGTCATTCTTGTCTGTACCACCGTGATGGGGGTCAGCCCAACAAAGATCAATATTCTGTTGCTTTTGTCACTGTACAGGCACCTGATAAAATATGGAAGGCTTTTACCTCTTGCTGTTTTTCCAGTTGATATAAGTGAAACGAACAAAGCAACAACAAAAAACAAACAAACAGAAAAACCCCGTAAAACCCAAACAAAAAACCAACTAACCAAAAAAAAAAACCCCGAAGAAACCACCAAAAACGAAACAAAAACAAATCAAAAAAAGAAACCAATTAAGTTATTAAGTTCCATTTACACCTCCTAGACAGAAAGGAAACTGAATTGTGGATGGTCTAAATCATGAGTTCATTCTTAAAAAGTGTTGCACGTGACATGTTTTTACTCTCAGAAGAAATAATTTGTCTTACCTTCTTGATATGGGTAGAACACCATTCTCTTAAACTGGTTAGGAATCTGGCCATATTTAAAGGTGATTGAAGACTTTGACTTAAATTCATAAATCAGCAGGAAGTTATTTATTCTGTGGCAAAGTCTTTAATAAGGGAATCAACAAGTGCACAAGGTCCTAGCTGTAAGCTGTGCTATGGAGATATTCAGTGTCTGGGATAGGGAAGAGTGTAGGAGGCACAACACTCTACAGAAACTGTAGACAGAAAATTCTGTTTCTGTCTAGGGCTCAGCAAACACATTTTAAACATCACTTACTCAGTTAACATCTAGAGAATGATCAAATAGATGTTTTCCAAATTCATGTGTAGGTAGTCCTAGCATATAGGTATCAGAACTGTCAAAATAGGGCTAAACCTGGAATAATAGGGCTAAACCTAGATAAACCTGGGTTTCTCTTAATGTTAAGTATTTCCATTTTATTATAGTTGCAGAATTGGTAACAGCAGTAGAAGTTATCTCTGCATTTCCATCTCTTATCAAAGCTCTTGTAATTTTGAAATACTTGTCTTAGAACAGTGATTCTCAAACTGGGATTGTAACCCTATGAGAAATATGAATTTGTCTAAAGTATGTGAAATTATGTGGGTAATAAGCAGGATTTCTCAGAGTTACCAGCTGTAGCTGCAGTTACAGTGTTTGTCGCAGTGATTGAGCTGCAGCTAGAAACAGCTAGGATCTGTGGTTGTAGGGAGCCACAGATTTGTGGTCTGGTGTTGCTCAGATTGGGGTTTTTTTCTGTCTGAAGACTAACTATTCTGGGGAAATTTTAGGCATAAGTGGTTAAAGCTTTTTCTTTTTTTTTGTGAGGACAGTGCATAAAATATGTTTGGCTTGTTGATCCTCCATGGATCTCCTGAGAACAGGTGCACTCTTGAAGCAGATGACAGCTGTGGTATGGCTGAAGAAGTGAGGAGACCTGGGGTTTGGCCGGCTGTTGAAGGGGAAATGGCCTTTCCCACCTGTCAGCTCCTTTGGCTGCTGTCAGCAGCCCTCTTCAGCTGCCTTGGCAGTTTCTGCTGGGTGGGCACTGCTGTGTACTCTCCTCTTCTTCAGCCAGTCCTGCATTCCTGGATTGCATCTGTCATGAGAGTCTCAGAATTCCTTGTCTGCAGAGCAGCATTAGCAAGAGTCCTTGTACAGACTTCATGGAAGACCCACATGGTCAGAATTCCAGAAAGAGCTTTTAGGAGGTAGTCAGGCAGACAGGGCTGCTTGACAAATATAGCAAGGTCCGTGACCTGAAGGAAACAGAAACTATACACTCAACAGATCAGTAGATGTCATTAAAGAATTAATTACTGAAAATCTATGCAGCTCTAAGGCCATGGTGGACTTTGGGAGTGGGATTTATTTGGCTAAGTATAGACATAGCCATTTCATTCATTTGTATCTGAGCTAGTCACTTTCAGCTCCCTTCATAGTTGAGAGATTAAGTTGGTGTAGACAGTGGTGTTCAGGGCACAATTCTTCTCATACAGAAGTGGATGTTTAAAATAATATAGATAGATAACACCCTAAAAATGCTTATTTGACTCCACTCTGTAACCCTGAGATAGACAGTTGTCTCCATAAACATAATTTTAAGACTGAGATGATTTTCATCCCAAAGCCTGAACCAGGGTCTTCTGACTGAAAGTGGGATGTGACTGTGACATGGGCAGGGCTCCTGCTCCAAGTCCTGGCACCACAGACAGTGCTTTCGTCTCACCCAAACCACAGACTGTCATCCAGAGACTGTCCCTCTTTTGCAGTGAACTGGTGTGAGACATTCCATTTACCAGATATGTGTATAGTTGCAGTTCCCAAACTAAATGATCTGCTTCCAGGTTCTCCATTTTTAGGTGAAAAACAGGTAGTAGCATCAGAACACCATCATAGTGTCTCTCTCCCTAGTTTCGTGAATTGAGTTACTTTTTTTCCCCACTTTCAGGTTTTAAGATGACTGAGGAATTGATATTGGATTGTTTCCAGAAAGCAATTAGGTTTTTTTCTGAAACACTTGTCTTGTGGCATAATTCTGTGTTCTGCTTTTTGTGTTATGAGATAAGGAAAATGCAAACACCTTATCTCCTTTAATCAGTTAGTGTTTTAAATATGCCTTTCAGGTTCTTTAATGTTCTCTTTTCTCGGGTAAAAAATTCATTCCTCCCAATCCCTGTAGAAAAATAATTTTTCAGTGCACCTGACTTCTTATTGCCTGTCACTATACAACTCCTCATTCTCTCCTGAGAAAGTAGAATATGCAACTATGAAATAAGCTGCTGCAGCTGGTTTTGTAGACTACTGTGCATACTAATTTCCATTTTATTCCTCTGTAGCATTTGCTTCACCTTTTTTTGAGTTTTGTTTTTGTTGTTTACACTTTTATAGAACTGTTTATAAGTGTTTTTCATGTGCCAGTGCAATTTTGAACTCAGTAAATACTGTTTCATTTCTTTTATTATTCATTATACTTGTGTAGTCTACCAAGTCATTGGTTTTTCTGCTTTGTGTTGGCCATTTTAAGGTTCATGTCCATTTTCTTTTCCGGAGTTACCTAACTAATTTCATTTCCTCTACGCATTTTGACATATCTTGCTGCTGCTCTGAGCAAGATGCCTCTACATTCCAGCTCTGATATGGACATTCTTTATTTAATTTGGGTATTATAAAATGATCAGACAGTGGTCGCTGTTTTTTCTGTTTCCTGATTTTTAGTTTCCATGCTGCCACTGCTCATTTTGCTTTCTAAAAAGCTTTTTTTCTGTGAAACCGGAAAACAGTTACTGTATATGCAAAAGCAAAAACACAGATTTTAATCTTTTCTGTGCTTTGTGCTTGATGTTTTTAAGCTATATTGAGGTTCATAGAAATTCACCCTTAAGATATACCTAGAGAGCTTTTAACACAATACTACTTACAAGACTTGCAGTCAGATTTTCTTGAGTCAGTCAGCAGTAGACTGTCTGCTAATAACTTTGTTTGTTTGTTTGAAATCCCAAGCACAACTTCCCTGGCAGTGCCTGGGAGGTTTTGGGTCCAGCCTGAGAGTTCATTGAAAGAAACTAACTTCAGCAGTTGATGGAGATTTATCTGGGGGATAACACACAGATCGTGGGATTATCAGATACTTGCTTTCTGATTTGACTTGTTAGGGATTCAATACTAATGGAAACTAAAAAAAAAAAAAAAAAAAAAGTAACAAAAAAAAAAAAAAAAAGTAACACTGTAAACCAGGGAAGGTTTTCTGGAGGATTTGACAGATCTCCAGCATTTCACCCATTTAAAGCTGTATTCATTACCTAAAGCCATATTCATTTGTGTGAAGATGACATCAGAGAACTTGGAGAAAGAGCAAGCTTTAAGTGTGCTGCTCCACTGTTCCTGTCAGCCTCCCATTTAGATCTGCTTGATTTCATGTGAGCTCACCCTGCAGCTGTGCTGAGACCTTTGCAGGAGTTCATTGCTGACATTACCACTCATCTGTTACCTATGATTACTTCTTTCGTTTTAGTTTTCTCAAAGAGAAATTGTAAGTGAAATACAATGGGTTTAGGGGAAGACTTTTCATTTTAATATGACTGCTCTTTAAAGTTCCTTTTGCTGAAGCTGAGTCAAAGATCAGTGTCTTACTGTAAGAGAACAAGGAGCTGAAGCATTTACTGATTTTTGGACACGAGATTATTTGAATCACAAAGTTGATCAAGTCTCTGTGAAGTTCCTCCTGCTTAGCCTTGCCTTTTTGGGTAGTGAAGTTCTGGTGTGACTGAAGAGATGAAATGTGGTGCTTACTTTTTGCCCTAGAGCTGTAAGTCTTCTCTTCAGTTTTTGCTCCCAGCTACTGAGAGTCCTTCGGTTGCTTGCTCTTCTGTTCTCTGAGAATCCACTGTACAGAGAGAACAGATTTAAGGTCTGTGTGATAAAGCACATGGCTGAGAAATTTACAGAATTTATTGAAGGGCTGTCGCTTCTTGCCTCCACTTTGTTTAAGCTGCAAAGCAATCAAGTTGCTCATAAATGTTATCATTTCCTCCCTGGATGAGATGGAGTTGTTCAACTGGAGACGGAAGAAGGTGTTCCTTCTCTCATTCTGAGAGCCTTCTAGATATGAACTTGACATTCTTGTGGAACATAGGGATACTGAGAGTGAACCAAATGTAGTGATTTTTGGTGTGTATCAGCAACTGAAGAGACTTCATGGCCTGTACTGTAAAACCCTACCCAGCACCATGTTGGTGTCTTTCTTTCTTGAGCTCAGTTTTAACTATATCTCATCTCTGAGCTGGCATCTTCCAAGACTGGACATCCTTATGATAGCAGTATGGCTGTGCATGCTGGAGGTGTTACTAGATAGATCCCTTCAGGTAGGATTCATACTGTACTCTTGGGTCCCTGCTAAGGGTCTTATTGCTCACTGGTAGTTTGAATCAGCTGCCAGGAGAATAGTCACGGTAGGAGAGAAAGAGCTTAAGGGTCCAAAGTAACTGTTTCTGGCTCTAGAGCCACAGTTCTGAAATCTTGCTAGGGATTTCTAAATTTATTTTATTTAAATTCTACTGCATGAAGTATGCATTACCACTGTTGGTAATAAGGGTTTGTAGGGCAAGTTCAAGAGCCATTGTCTAATTCCTGGACCTGGAAGAGGAGACAGCCTGCCAGAATGTCTGGGAGCAGAACCGTTTCCAGGTAGCTCTTACAAGGAGCCAGTGGTGCTGCTGACACTAGATGTCTATTAAGTAAAAGCCTGCTTGTGTATGTAGGTACAGTTCTGCAAGTAATCCAGGTGGGGATAAAATTTAGGAGTGGCGCATAAAATGTCCAGGATAATTTGAAGAGTTTTGAGTTTAGAAAGGTGAAATCCTTCACAAATCCACCACACTAAATAGAGATTTGGGGTCATTAAAATAATTATATTATGAAATAGCACTTTGGCAACAGAAATTCTGTGGGAAAAGATGGAAAAAACATGGATTCCCAAGAATATTTTTCTGCTAATCTGCTGTTTTTTACCTGTGTAAATCTGTCATTTTCTGCACTGAATGGCACTTTGGAAAATCCTGTTCCCTGTCAGAGCATACTGTAGACACTGCATTTCTATCAAACCTCTCCGTTACTGTCTTCTCCAGATTTGGCAGAATGTAGTAATTTTCCTGTTCCTCTTCAGCCATACATCTCTGCCTTCCCCATTCCTCTATGCCAGATTATGCTGTATAATCTGCTGTATGTAGCTTCGTTCTCTCCTATGTGTGTATAAGCTTTACAAGATTGACCCTTTCTTATGTTGTTTTGTCGACATTAACTTGACAACTGTAGCCTTTTTGACATTGTCATCTACATAGGTATTGGAGATTAGAGTCCCAAAGCAATTTTTGGTTACAATCTTTTCTGGAATCCATGCATCAGACAATAGCTGGGTTTTCCACATGATGCATGGAAGGAAGGGCACTGAGATGACACAGCCATAAGCCACTACAGTGACTGGGAAGCTTCAGGTGGTCTGTAAAAATGACAATGTATTAGCACGATTGTATCTCTGGCAGACTTCAGCACCTGGGTTAGGGATGAGGCAGGGTGCCTTCCTTCACACAACTCTCCCAGCAAGCTGGAGCTGCAGCATGTTTGCTCAGGGTGAAGGCAGCTGGGGTGAAGAGGAGAGTGAGGCAGTGGTGTGTGTGTTGGTGTGTTCAGGTGTGTCTGCAGGAGGAGTATTAGCAGGTGCTACAGGATGGCACGATGCAGATGGGCAGGGTGTTCCCAGCAGGTAGTTCCCAGCATGAGCTGTATTTGTGACTGCCATATACAAATCTGAGCTATGCAACGATGAAAGACATTTGTGTTGCGATAGTGTTGCAGCTGAATTTTAGCAATCTAGCTAGGTCGAAGCCAGAAAGGACATTGATATTATGCTTTACCCACAGTGATTCCTCAGATATCTAATCTAGAAGTATAGGACGTATCACTTCTTAGGCATGGCAACCTCCTGTCTTCCTCCATTTACAGTGAATTTCAGCATGTTTATAGCCAAGAGTTTTTGAAAGGAATTTTTAGTTTCAGCTCTTCAATGTATTTTCATACATGTAAAGAATCTTAAATTCTAATACAACTGGTGCAGCTGTACAAAACATGGAGATTCCCTATTATATGTGTAATTGTCACCTTTCCTGCAGCTTCCTCAGATCCTGAACTTAAACTGGATATGTACTTTTCCCTTGTCTTTGTGCATAACAGCAAAAGCGGAAATTGAGACTTTACATCTCCAACACATTTAATCCTGCAAAATCAGACGCTGATGACTCTGACGGCAGCATTGCTTCGTGGGAGCTGCGTGTGGAGGGGAAGCTTCTGGATGATGTACGACTTATCTCTGCTTCACTGGGGCTGGCAGGGTCTAAAGATTGTCCTTTGGAGTGGTAGGTTGTACTGGGAACATCAGCGGAGACAAGCCATGTCTGAATGGCAGTGTTGGCTTGTTGCTGCTGGGAAGGCATTGTACCCAGCCCAAGTGAGGGATAGGGCCCTAATGGGACTGTTAGAGAGTGCAGCAGAAAATGAGGCAGACATAAGGATGGGATAGGTGGGAGGAAGTGGAGAGAAGAGGGCTGAGACTAATCCTTTTAAAGAGATGGCAGGGCTCAGGTTACAGCCGGTGTGGTAATTCTGGCCTACAGTGGGCATTGCATCTTGGGAAGAGCAGGATAACAAGGAGAAGGCAGTACTTGATATTCTTAGGGGGTACCACACAGTGTATGAATGGTTAGAGCAAGGATGGAAGAAACATTTTACCATTATGAAGTCCTCAGAAACCTCAGTGGTGGATTTAGCTGTCTTGGGGAAGGCTGGACTTTGCTAATAAAGGCGTCCATCTATTTGAAATGACTTCACAAGTAAGTGTTTCTAGGCTAAACAGACTGACAACATGCATGCATGGAGAGGGCAAGGCTTTCAGTCTGTCTGGAGGTACCTGTACATGAATCAGAGTCTTGCTGGAGGAAGAATTGGTGACAAAGTGCAGCATCTGGGAATTGAATTGAGATTCAGTTTAGAAATTAGAGCATAAATTTCAATAAAGAAAGAGATTCTTTATTGGAAGAACATAGCTTTTCAATTACCAGCATTTTTAATAAAATGTTATCTGCATTAAACACAAAGAAATAAATTGGAATCCTGTGGTCTGTATTCTGTGGAAAGTCAGGTAATCACAGACCTTCTAATTTTTAATATAGACAACATGAGATGTGCACTAAACAACAAATACTGATAATTAAATGAAAATAAAAAAGTTGAAATAGTTTTGCTTAGTGTATGACAGTCTGCAAAATTTACTGTAATCTGATAAATCAGACCAAGAAATTAGCATTCATCAAAAAAAATCCCAGGCTGTTAAAAAGAAAGGTATACAGAGGACTTGGGATCATAGAAGGGTTTGGGTTGGAAGGGATCTTCAGGACCATCTCATTCCATCCCACTGCCCTGGACAGGGACCCCTTCCACTGGTCCGTGTTGCTGAAAGCCCCTTCCAGCCTGGCCTGGAACACTTTCAGGGATGGGGCAGCCACAGCTTCTGTGGGCAACCTGCGCCTCACCACCCTCTGAGTAAAAAATGCCCTTCTTAAGACCAGTCCAACCCTGTAATTACAGATCTTGGTAAAAAGTTGCACTTGATCTCTCTTACAAGCCCCCTTTAAATATTCCCTGCAGCCTATATTTCTCTGGGCTGAACAGCCCCAACTCTTTCAGCCTGTTCTCACAGGAGAGGTGCTCCAGTCCTGAGATAATTTTCATGGCCATTTTCTGGACCTTTCTCATGGATGCCATGTTCACCTTACAAGCCAGTGCTTTTCAATAACATTAAGAGTCAAGGAAATCTTCCCTAAAATGTACACTGTTCCACTACTGTACTGTTGAGATTTTTTCATCTTACCCTGTTTTTGTCAAAGGGAGAACTCAATTAGATTGATCACACTTGTGGTTTACATGGGATTTAATGTTCAAGGCAGACTGAGAAGTCTAGGACACAAGCTAATAAATGCAGCCTTATACACCTCTGGTTCTTCTGCCTGTACAGCTCAGCAAACAGAAACGGAAATTTTCATCTTTTTTTAAGAGTTTGGTTATTGAACTGGACAAAGATCTTTATGGACCTGACAATCATCTTGTGGAGGTGAGAAAGCTGTGCACCCTTTGTGTAGAAACTACTTACTGGCACACATAAACACCTGGCGCCTGTTGCTTCCCTTGTTTAAGGGACTTTGCATTCATTATCTCATTTAAAGGATTTTCAAAGTTTTCAAAATTCCATTATTCTTAAGAATGTTTGCTAGAGGAATCTACTATAAAAACATAGATGATTAAGTGCTGCAGTGCTCATCTTAGAACAGAATGTATGAAAAGATGAAAATATTGTACACATTTCTCCTAACAAGTAAAGTATGTTAACTGCAGAGCAGATTCTGCACTAAAGCTGAATTGAAATGACAGGGGTGGAGGTGGGGGGACTGTTGTGGATTGGTTTTGTTGTTATCTTTTTTAGATTATTTTTTAGATTGCCAGAGCTTCAGAAAGCATGCACTTGTCTAATGGTATGGTATGCTGTGCAAGATGCACCTCCATGGACATCAGTGAAAAAAGACCAACAATTTTGTTTTTCCCTTTGTTAGTGGCACAGAACTCCCACAACCCAGGAGACAGATGGCTTCCAGGTGAAGAGGCCTGGGGATGTCAGTGTGCGGTGCACGTTACTCCTCATGTTAGACTACCAGGTCAGTGCACTGCTTTAGCCTGCAACGCACAGCCACTGGGACCTAGTGCAACAGAGCAAACCCATCTTGTCACACAGCTCTAAACCCAATATACTTGTACTTGCAGTGTCACATGGTCCATTGAAGTTAGAATGATACCAAACAGAAGGATTATTTAAAATTTAAAGGGGACAAATCAAGTGAATTTCTAATATAGTCTAGCAAAATATTGGTCTTGGCGTTATGATAATTAGTATTTTTATTGCCCAGTTGCAGAAAAAATATGTATTTCCTCCTCTAGCTTCTTAGAGAATAGTCAGAGAAGTTGCACGCATGTTACACATGTGGTTCTTTAAAAAAAATACAGAGGAGAAGCTTTTGCTAGTGATACCTGAACTAGCTGGGTAGCTGTGGCACCCTTACCTTGGCACAAACAATGGACACAGCAGTTGGGGAGCTCACCAATCTGACTGAAACCGTCCCTGGAAGAAACATTGCTGTCTTAAGGGAACTGTTAACTGTTAAACTCGCTCTGCTGCGAGCGGATGGGATCCCCCTTTTCAATGACAGCTCGGGCTCAGATGCATTTTGAGGGTGTACCTTTAAGAACTTGTTCTCTGCCACTTTCTTTTGCCTCCAGGCAAATAGCATCTATTCAGGATATAGGCACTCCATTTTATGTTAGCAGAGAGAAAATTGTATTAATTTTAGGGATCATATGGGCTAACTGAAATACTGATATAGGTGGTGAGCATTTTTGCTATTAAGACAATATAATGGTGTTTGTTATGCTCACCATGATTATAAATTTATGCTTTAAAATAGATGTTCCTTTGTTCTTAGGTCCAGATTTGTTATAAAGCTAGCTTGGGGTGACCTGCCACCCATCAGAGTAATCCTTGCTTATTAATGTGGTGAATACTAAACCTGAGTATGAGTACACACTTGAAGAAGCATCCAATTCCAGATTATCCAAGAAGTTTTTGTTACAAGAGATGGAGAACAAGGAAGTTGAATTATATCACTGAGATCAGGAAAAGAATAAAATCTATTGACTGGTTGTAGTTGGGTAAATTTTTTGGTGTGCACCAAACGGTTCATGCCTGAACAGAGTTCCAAGACAATGTGTTGGCGTGAGACAGCAGTTATTAGCAGCTGTGGAAGTATCATCCTGCCTTTCTTCTCTCTCTCTGTGGTTAACTTCCAGTAGTTCAGAGGAAGGGCTGTTCTTTTTCTTCTCTCATTCTCAGAAGTCAAATTTTGCATCAGTGTTGAAAGGGAAAATTCTTCCTGAGTCTTTGTGCAAGTTTTTATTATTTGAAGTATGTGCTACGGGTAGTCTGTGTGCATGGCACAGGTACAAGGTCCTTCTTCCTAAGCACCAATGGTGAGACACAAAAATACAAACTTGTGTTTTTGCAATCTCTGCCGCTGAATGGGATACTTCTCCCAAAGAACAGAGTCCTCCAAGAATTAAAACTGAAACTTCCTACTTGTGTATCTGTCTGCTTTCTTCTGTGCTGCCACCTCCTTGGCTCTCTGTTGCAGCCCCCCCAGTTCAAGCTGGACCCGCGGCTGGCCCGCCTGCTGGGCATCCACACGCAGACACGCTCGGCCATCATCCAGGCTCTCTGGCAGTACATCAAAACAAACAAGCTGCAGGACTCCCACGACAAGGAATACATTAACTGCGACAAGTACTTCCAGCAGGTAACTCTTGTTTGGACACAGTAGCTCTTCAGAAGCAAACTCTAACATCCAGACACAAATTTGGGATGAATGAAAATGAATTATTTTTATTTTCCCTTGATGATTTGCAGTATCCTCAGCACTGAATGGCTTTCAGCAGCCACTACAACTAATATCATTAACACCCTCTCCATGTGCCAGTGTTGTCAAAACCAAGGCCACATAAAAGCAATTCCACCCTTTCTGTAAATATGATTATGGGGTTTTTTTGAAAGGTAATGTTAACTGAGCTCTCACTGGCTTACCTAACTTTGTTTTTCAGGTTCACTTGACTTCCTTTGAAAGTAATTGAAAGTGGGGTTTGTGATATACTTCTGTGTAAGGAAAATACTGGCAGTTAAAATGAATGAATAATGTTTTAGCAACCAACGAAAGTAAATGTTGTGATGAAACTTGTGTCCTGGTTTTCTTTTTAATTTTTTATTTTCTGTTATTAATTTGCCCTACAATAGTGTTTTTCTGTCTGAAAAAAATTCAGTCATCTTCTTTACAATATGCTGCTGTATAGCCTTAGTAAGAGAGGGAGTATTGCTTCTCTCCCATCATGGATACAGTTGATCCTCATGTCCCGGTGAAGGGTCCTGTTCCCTCCAGCAGCTAAACCAAAAGTGAGACAAGTGAAATTGTCATGGCCTGATGGGTATGTCTGCAAGCCCAGATGAAAGTGGAGGGACAGAAGTGACCAGAAATTTAATCTGCAAGGAACCTGAATTACAGCTTTCAAAACCACCCTCTGTATTTGCCTCAGTTCCTTATGAGCTGCAGATTCCTTACTTTCTCATTTAACTGCAAGATAGCCTTTGGACAAACCAAATTTGTTGTTTATTGTGTTCCAGATCTTTGACTGTCCACGGTTAAAGTTTTCTGAGATTCCCCAGAGACTCACTAACCTGCTGCTGCCGCCAGACCCAATAGTGATAAACCACATCATCAGGTAAGTTTGGTCAGCTCAGCACTGTCCTGTGCCAGACACTCACTAGGTAAAGTACAGCTGCAGTAGCTGTAGGGACCAAAATCCAAGTTTTATAATCCAAGTTTGGCATGAACACCTTGGACTTCGTTGTGTGTTTGTTCTATGTGTCATTCTAGTTTGTATAATTCTGAATTATTTTCACTAGCACAGCATCAATTTTCTAGGAGTATGAAAAGCAGCTTTTATATTTACTAGAATGCCATTGGTTGGGCTTTTTCCTAAGGAGAAAGGAATGAAAGTTTGAACTCACAAAAAGAGATAAAAAAGAAATTGAAATGAGGTATTGTCCATCATGGGCAATCATTCCAATCACTGATATATTATGTAAAATGTACAACAGCATTACGATTTCAAGTGCAGGGCCAGTCCATGCATGCTTTGTTGGGATTGGGTCAGCTCCTTGACTGTTAGTCTTATCCTGAGAATGCCAAGAAGTCAAGAGATCTCCAGAGATTAACAACAAAGAGTGTCTGGATTCAGAGGAGGTCGTTGTGACCAAGATGCTGAGCTCTCGTATCCTTGTCAGAACAGATGTCTTCTGGCATAGCAGATGAAACACAACTTTCAGCTCTCTCGGGCTCTTCCAGCATGTGCCTTTTTAAGTGACAGCTGTGTACATGGAGGAGGGGGATAAAGAGACTTCTGGGGATTGCAACTTTGCTGTTCAGATATTTCAATCCTTTCCAAGTTTCTTTGTCAGCATCAAAACTCTGATTCCGGATGTTTAAAAGTTATTATTACTTGGGTTACTGATTTGATTTCCTACAGAATATATACAACATATTTTTAAGCAAACGTTTCTGAATTTGCTTAAAATTTGGCTCTTTATTTTAAATTTGTAACATACGTGATAAGAAGAATAATATGTTAAATATTACATAGGCTATGAAAATAGAGTTTGCTTTTTGATTCATTTGAATGTATCAAACAGAGTAATGGAAAAGCGGCTTGGTGGCCATCCAGACTGAGAGCTGTGTATGTACTGTCATTGGGCACAGCTCAGTGCCCTGTCTGATGGACCACAAAAAAGCTGAGGTCCTCAGAGAGAGATAGTCATTGCTTAGATAAAAATGACAAGGAACTGATGATTATGTTTCTGGGGCAGAGAGATGACAAAAAGGTACTGTAGGGAGTGGTTTTTGTCAGATACCAGCAAAAGAACAGGTGTGTGTCACAAAGCCACAGCTTTGTGTCTGCCAACGTTCTCTGATACGCTGTGTGCACCACACAGCTCCTGGCAGCCTTAAATGGTGCTGACATAATGGTGTGGACAAAGGAAGAACTCATTTCCTGGGAACAGGTAGTACTTTTGCAGGGAAGTCTTTACAGTGTTGGGCTAAGCTAAAGTAAATCTGGAAGTCTGCCACTGAATTTAAAGAAAGTAAGTAATTTTTAGACTCATACAGTCACAGAATAGTTTACAGTCGAAGGGATTACTGGTGGTCATTGAGAGCTCCTCCATCCAAACTCAAATCAGGTTCAAAGTCTATCCAGGATATTTAAGGACCTGGTCCAACCAAGCTTAAAACAGGGTCTCACAAATGCTCTGCCCTGTCGCCCTGCATTCAGTTTTTTAGAGGGAGTGTAATCAGCCACTGAAACAGTATGCCAGCTGCCTGTCCTGGTTTAATCCAGTCTTCAGCGTGTCGTGCTTTAATCCAGTCATAATCCGTCCACTTGTTCTCTCTCCAGCAGGGCAGGGGGAAGGATTGAAAAGGTAAAAGGGAGAGAAAGACAGTGTGGTGATGATGATGGTGATGATGATTATGATGATGGTGGTGAACAAATCTAACACTACAAGTGATACAGATGAAAACTATTGCTTACCACCAACTGACTGATGCCCAGCAAGACCCTGAGCAGTGAACACCTGCCACAGTTTACTGCTCAGTGTGGTGCCACGTGGTTTGGAATATCCCTTTGGTCAGTTGGGGGGAGCTGTCCCAGCTCCTTGTGCACCCCAGCCTCCTCACTTGTGGAAGTGTGAGGAGCTGAAAAGGTCTCAAGAGGCTGCAAGCAATGATCAGCAATAAATATCTCTTGAAAATATCTCTCTGTTACCAGCCGTTTCCAGCACAAATTCACAAAACAGCTATGATGGAGAAAATTAACTCTATCCCAGCCAAAACCAGCACATTACTTCAGGGAATTTCTCACCGCTAGTGATTGTAAATGGATGGGCTTGTAATTCAGATAAATCCTCAAGCCTGCCTTTTACAGGAAGATCACGTATATCACAATTACTCATTCTAGTTTTAGAGGATATGCACAGGAACAAAAATGTGGAATATTGTAAATTCATTCTAGAAATTATAATAGTATTGTAGAATCACTCTCTGGGTACCAACAACCTTCCTTTTTGAAGACAAAGAAGAAATAATGCAATGGGGTTGAAGTGAACATAAAGTAGAGATTCTCATAGAAGTCAAATCCTACCTGAGCTCAAGCTAGAAGTGGAGATTTTCTTGAGTTGCTCTCCTAATTGCAGCTGACTCACCTGGAATCAGAGGTAAAAAGAATAACCTCTGTGGGATTACCATTTCTGCAAAGAAGCGAGACATCTTCCACACTTCCACGCACATTAAAGAAGGCAAGCAGACTGCAAAGCATAGCTCTCCAATATTCTTCTAGTACAAATAGATTATCTCTGGCACCCCCCGTTTTGACTACCATCGTGGTTTTCTAGAAACCAATTCCTTATAGGGAGTGAATTGCCCATGCTGCAGTGAGTTTCTGCTGCCTCTCACCCTAATCTCGTGCATCTCCAGGGGGAGGCTGGCCCTGTCTGTGCTTCACCAGTCCCCATGGCCATCGCACTCTCCTGGGCAACCTCCTTTTCCCTTTTCTTCTCCAGGCTGGGGAAGCTCTTGCGGCTTCTCCTGGCAGGTCTGTGCTCCAGCCCCCAACGTGCTCGGCAGGCCTTGCTCCAAGATGTCACATCTTTGTGGTCCTGTGCCCACCAGTCCAGATCCAGTTCCACCAGCGTGGAGTAGGAAGGAAGAGCCTCTTTCCTGGGCTTGATGGCAAAAGCTGTGCTAATGCAGTCCCTTTTGCAGCTGACCTTTGCTATGGCCGCCTGGCCCCTCAGAGTCCTTCTGCCCTTGTTGTGTGTCCCTCAGGGCGCCCAGGTCCTGTCCTGCCAGTGTGTTTTGTACCGCAGCAATGCCCCCCTGTGCCCCTGCCCGGTGTGACTCCATGCCAGGAGCAGAGCTTTCCCTGTGCCCACCTTGGCCGTGCTGAGGAGCCGTCCTGTCTGTGCAGCCTGCCAGGGTCCCTGTGCACAGCCCTGCTGCCCCCCTGACCTGGGCTCGGGGCTCTGGGGGCCTGAGGGCCGCGCTCAGCCCGGAGCGATGGAGCCAGAGACAGCGTGGAGCCTTCTCTGTGGCTTTGGACGTGAGCAGCAGAACCAGACCCGCTCCTGGCTTTTCCTTTAGCCTTCCTTCTGCTGCTCATCTTCTTGCTGGCAACCACAGCATCACAGATTCTCAGAATGTTTGCGGCTGCAAGGAACTTCTGGAAATCATCTGGTCAAATGCCCTTCTCTGCTCAAGCACAGTCACCTGTAGCAGTTTGGCCACAGCCATATCCAGATGGCTTTGGAGTGTCTCCAACATGGGAGGCTCTGGGCTATGGGAAAGGCAGATGGGCTTTGAGGGTCCTACTGCAACTTGTGCTATTGCTTGGTCACCCTTATAGTAAAAACGTGTTTCCTGGTGTTCAGAAGGAGCTTCCTGTGTCTCAGTTTGCCCCAACTGCCTCTTGTCCTGTCACTGGGTACCACTGAAAAGATCCTGGCTCTGTCTTCTTTAAACTCTTCCTTCAAGTTTTGGTAAGTTCCCTTCCCACCAGCCTTCTGTTTTCTAGGCTGAATAGTCCCAGACCTCTCAGCCTTTCCTCAGCTGTGAGGTGCTTTAATGCCTTAATCATCTTCACGGACCTTTGCAAAATTCTCTCCAGGAGCTCCCTGTATCTCTTGCACTGGGGAGCGCAGCACTGAGCACAGTACTAGAGGTGTGTCCTTGTTGGTCTTGCGAATAGAGAGGGATCATTTTCCTCTACCTGCTCACAACACTCCTAATGCAATTCCATCCCTGGAAGTTCTTCTGCTCCCCCAAGTCTGTCAAGCACAAACAGATCCTGAGCAATTTTGTTTTGCTACCTACTGCAGATGCACACAACCCACACATTTGATAGGGTTGTGTGCATCTGCAGTAGGTAGCAAAACAAAATAGGAGTTGAGAAGCCAGAATCTTTATATTGCAAGTGACAGTGACTGAAGTCTGATTTACCAACTACTGCGCTGAAGACCGTTTTCTTGTTAAGAAACTTTAGTCTAACAATAAAGTAATTGTTAAGTCTAAAAGCTGGCAAACTAAAGATAAATTTAGGACAGGGCAAGCCAAAGAAGGATACTGATACTTAGTGTAACAGGTCTCAGGAGGATGTTAGAAATTAAATTTGATAGTCTGGGCAAAAGCTCCAGCTCAAAAGTCTTTGAAATCTAACTGACGACAAAAGATGAGAGAATATACTAGAATAGGAAAATATATAAAGATACCCTGTTCTTACACTTTTTTCACAGCATCTACAACAGGCTTTATTGAAGAGTGAATTCTGGGCTGGCTGGAAATTATTTCTGATTCATTATGGCAGTTCTCATGATCTTGTGTTATACTCTCCATAGTGTTGACCCCAACGATCAGAAGAAGACGGCTTGTTATGACATAGATGTAGAAGTTGAAGACCCATTAAAGGGCCAGATGAGTAGTTTTCTTCTCTCAACAGCTAACCAACAGGAGATAACAGCATTGGATAACAAGGTATTAGCTCAAGAGTAAAGTATCCCATGGTACACATACTCATTGTGTAGCTTCACATGTGTTTGGTGTCATGTGTCAAACAGTAATGTTGTGAGATGGGAACTTGGTAAGGGCATGTGCTTTCAAGGGATGAATAAGCCAGATGCAGTGGGAATACATCAGGGTGAATGGCATTCCCACTTAGGATTTGATCCAAGGCCTAACATGGTTGTGGAGGTGATAGAGTTTCACAGGTAGTGTACCCAGTCCCCTGATGCTTGAGAATCAGCTAAACTGTATGATTAACTTTTTATTGAGAGGTCATGATATCTTATTAAATTGCTAAGGCAAAGCTAGGAGAATCTCATACTGAGGTGTGAGTTCATAACTGCAGAATGGCTTTCTGCATTAGGTGGATATATGGAACATGCATGGCAGGAAAATCACTTGGAACCACTTTGGGAGTTCTGAGTGTCAGTGGAAAAGGATCATGTGCACTTCAAATAATAATATCCACCTTAAGGCAGTGGTGGGTTTTGCAGACTGTTTTAGGGATTCGTGTCCATGGGGCTGTTATCCAGTTCTGGCATTTGTCAGTGGCCCATTTGGATTGGTAAGGGATAAACAAAAATGCCTTCTCAGAGCAAGGCCCAGGTTCTCTTTGTTTACTGCTAATACAACCAGATGTGCTAAACTCTGGTTTTCATGCAGTTTGAAAGGGGGTCTGGGCAGCAGCAATGCAATGGATTCTGGTAACTGTTGCAGTGTCTTTGCTGTCATGCCTCTTGAGGATGGTCCTTTTCAGCTGCTCAGTCAGTTGGTTCCCAGCCCATATAAGCTTGCCAGCAGCATGCACAGGGTTATTCTGTTTCCAGTCGCGCTCCCCTTTTCCTCTGTCTGTGTCGCCTCTTTTTTGAATATTTGCTACAGCACAGGCAAGCTGTGATCAGTGAAGTTGCTGAAGTCCCTGCTGGGTGAATGGGCACGGGCTGCTCCTGTGTCCCTCTGTGCACAGCATTGCTGTGCTGCCATGGAGTCTCCTCCTGGGAATTCGGCACATGCCAGTGGAGTTCACTCCACACAACTGCAGCGTTTTCCCAAAGAAGGAATGATTTTAAGTTAACAGCAGCTCTCTTCTCTTAACATACCATGTAGTAGCTACACTAGTGGCCTTGATGGCATAACCAGATCAGGGGATGATTATTTTCTCCCATGTGCTTGGTCGCCTTAGCTGTTTTGGCAAAAGAGATGAATGCATGAAACTAAACGAGATAAGTTTACTATTTCAAACTACAATGTTAGAGGAACAGGGCAGCAGAAGTTGGCTTTTGTGTGTGTCTGTGTGCAAATGGTTCATGAGATGTCCTCCCCTTCATACTTGATGATTATCCATTAAAGGACCTCGACTCTTCTTCAGTCTTCATTCTTCCCCACTAGTTAATATTTCTGCCATAATATCTCTAAAGATATTAATAATTTTCTATAAACCTTCCGTACTTGTGATTTGTCATTGTTCACGCTTTTCTTTTTGCAGCCATGACTTTTACAGGCTTTCTCTTAAGAAAAATCTAGAAGTCATGGCTATTCATTTGACATGGACTTGATCAAGAAACTGCTAGAGTTTTTAAGGATATTGAAGATGTGATCATGATGGTAACCAGGGGAATAACTGCTTTCTTGCACTGAGCACTGCTTAACTGCATATTTATTTAACACCTTTCCTCAAAGATCCCAGTCTTGGCAGGCAGAGTGATTCTACACAGGAAATTATTACGTTGTGCAGTGACATGGCTTAGTTCTGCATGCCATGCAGGAGTTCAGTCCAGGAAGTGAAGGAGAATCCTGTACATATTTGTATTGCAGAAGTGCAAGTGAAACCAGAATGTAGTGGCAGGATTGCAGTTAAGTTGCTGCTTTTTGAACTGAAAAAGCCGTAGGAAGGGCTGCACAAGTCTGTGGTGTAGAATTGTCACCTTTGTACATTACCAGGAGTACAAAGACAGTAACAGAGCTGACCTGATGGTCACTGGGAGAAATTAAAGAATATCTGCTTTGGTTTTTTTTCTGTCAGATTCATGAGACAATTGAATCCATAAATCAGCTAAAAATACAACGTGATTTTATGCTGAGTTTCTCCAAGGATCCCAAAGGATACATCCAAGACCTTCTTCGGTCCCAAAGCAGGGATCTTAAGGTGAGATAAGATTTGAAAAAGAATGAATAGTGTAACCAGAATGGAAGAATTTTCTCTAAATGTGCATAGTGTGTATAGCTGAACAGCTAGGATGGATGATTGGTGGAAGGTAGACAATGAGTGGAGTGCTGCAATCCCAGAGTAGATAGGAAAGATCGTTTAGGTTGGAGGAAAGATAGTTTAGGTTGTATTCCAGTTCCAGTGGAACAGTGGTGTTTCATGGGAGTGTTTCATAGGTCAATTTGTGGCCAGACAGTAAGTTTGAAATGCAGGGCTTTGATGATATATTCTGTAAATTCAAAGCTGTGCAAAACTCAGCAGGAGCATCGTATAGTACAAGAACACAATTTGGGTGTTGGTTCATAATTTAATCTTATCGGCTGTCCTTGAGCTTATCTTTGAGATGTACAAGAAATCAAAATGTAAAGAAGTTCAGTCGTTTGCCAGCAAAAATTAATAATTTGTTCCTCATAGTGTCACATTTTCTGTCTTTAACTGACATGCCTCAAAATCAGTTGTATTATTGAATCCATGAAATTATTTTAATAAAATCATTGTGTCTTTCTTATATAAATGCCTATTGTTAACTGAATAGTCTTCCCAAAATCTACTCTTAAGATTATGGTTATTCCTATTTATATTGTATTCAAAGGGGACAGGAATCTGATACCATGTTTAAACAAACCTGACCTCTACTTGAGGGACTTACAAACAGAGGCGTTGTGGAGCTTCTCTACCTAGATACATGGAATAGTTGTTCAGTTTTCCCTGACTGAGAACTAGTCCCATAAGAGTCTTTTCTATTAAGATTCTGCCCTGCTGGCATCAGAGTTGTGATTCCACAACATTGCTTTGCAAAATATACCAATGACTATATTTACCTGTGATTCTGTGATGCTGGAGACAAAGTCATCAAATTCTATTTTTTTGTAGAATGGTTCCAGCCCTCTGCTGCTCTATCCCTGGAGGCAGATTGGACAGGGCTTGGAGCACCTGGTCTAGTGGAAGGTGTCCCTGCCCATAGCAGTGGGGGTGGAATGAGATGAGCTTAAAGGTCCTTTCTAACACAAACCATTTGAGCATTCTGTGACCCTATTTTGGCAGTAAGCATGCATTGTCCATTTGCTTTGGGCTTTGAGAACAGTTCTGACCATTTTTATGTGTAATGTAGATAAATTTTCACTCTGGGTAAATCTGAAAGTTTCTCTATGTGGTGGAAGAGCTATGGTGAAAAATGGCTTTATTTTTGTCACAGGTGATGACTGATGTGGTTGGAAACCCGGAGGAAGAGCGCAGAGCTGAATTTTATCACGAGCCATGGTCTCAAGAAGCTGTGAGCAGATATTTCTACTGCAAGGTATGAAGGAAATATCCACACTGCTGACTTACAGATGCATCTCTTGCCACTGAGCAATTTAATCTGCTAAACTGTACAGTGTGTCTTTTTCTTGCAGATCCAGCAGCGCCGACAGGAATTGGAGCAATCTTTGGGAGTGCGTAACACATAAGTACTGCTCACAAGATTCCATTGGCATCACGACCACCAAACCAGTGGACTTCTCAGTGTTACTTAGCTCACTGTTACACATGGACCTGCTTCCTGACTGGATGAGAACGTGCCGTCAGCACACCAGTCAGAACACCAGCTTTAGAGTGACCCTTGGAAATCTTGCCCAGGACAGGTGTCTCAAACCATTCCAAGCCAGAGACAGCGCCATACAAGTGTCAGTGTGAAAGAAGACTAAAGGTTCACTCATCAACGCACATTGTTCAGTTTTAGTGGAAAGTTAGACACTACACAGCAAATCCTTATGGGCTATGCTTAGAATCATGGGTGGCACCGATGGTGGAGGTCGAGATAGGTGTTCTAGGAGACTACAGATTTAGAGAAATAAATGCAGCTCTTACCCTATGGTACCCAAGAGTCTCAAACAGTAACTTATCTGGAATTAGACAAGATAGTCTTTCTTATAGCTGTGGGATGCTTTATATTCCTGAATAGAGTTTTTATTTCAGCCGGACCAATGCAAGAAGCTTTCTCACCATCTGAAAGAACAAACTAGGAGCATTTGCATCCTGGACTGCAGAGCCCATCTGGAAGAAAGACGTATTGTCAGGCCATCTCTTCTGCAGGTGCAAATAATTTCTCTTCCCCCTGTCCCGGCAGTGAAAGGTGGATTCAATCACATATCACTAGATGGGTATGATCTGTACACTGTACTGAGAGAAAGAGAATATTTCCTGGGATAAGAGCTTCTTATGCATCCTTAATATCAGTGGTATTTGCAACAAATGAGGCATTCTGAGAAAACTAAAATAATGTAATGGTGCTTTGCTGATGCCTACCTTTAACACAGCAGATAATAACAACAAGTATATATGTAAAATACCAGATTATGTAAATGTGTCTCTGTGGCCTGTAGGGTTTATCACTGAAAATAACTTCCTGATTCTTGGTGTAGAATCCAAGAAGCTTAACTTAATGTCACATGGTAGTTTTTTCTTCAAGATGTTAACAGAGTCCCTAGATTGGTCTCACATTTTGGTCATAGGTGAACTGCCTCTTATTATGAATTATTTGGCTCTCCCATACATGATACGTGCTGGTTATTTTGGATGCTGTTGAGTTATAAAGCGTATCAGCCTTAAATAGCACAGAGTACATATCCCTTGGAAATCATCTTCTTTGTAAATGTTTGACAATTTCAGATAATGGGAATTTATAGAACAATTACTTGGAAGCAGGGACATCTTCCTTAAATCCTTCCCCTCCTCATTTTTTGTAGTGCACAGACGAGCTATAATCAAGGCCCAATATAATTTCTAGTCCAAAAAGCAGCTGCCAAAGTATAACTGTCCATTTGATGTGGCACTCAAAATCCTCTTCTAGGTTACTCCTTTTCACCTCCATTCTTACACTTCATTGGAAAGAGAATCAAATTCACATGAGATATGGAAGGAAGGCAGCTCTTCTGAATAAATGCATTTTTTCTCTAGTGTTGTGTTTTCTGCTGTCTTTGCCAATTTCTCTCTTAATTTAACTTAAAAGTTTCTTCTCTTCAGTCACAGAAGAGATAGTCTTCTCTTTATCCCTTTATTTAATATCTTTGTTTTCACATTAATAGTGCCATAGCTTTTAGTCTATCCATTGTGTTCAGAGATGTCTTGGAAAATTTACTTTTGAGTGAATTTATGTGATGCAGTACTCTCCCACAAAACCTGTTGGTGTGAGAAAAAGTACCTCGTTGTCTGAGGCCTTTTACTGGGAATGGCTTGATTTGGCATTTTTCCCTTTTGTGCTAATGCCTCTTTTCACAGTAAAATGTGAAATCCTGCAGTCTTAAACTGGTTATACTGAGGGACTGTGAGGCTGCCACAGTGATGGTCTTGAAACGTTACTTAATTTAGGACTCCACTAATTGGACTACAAGCAAGCATTACGAGGAGAAAACAGTGGGGATCATCTGCTGCTGTGCTTCCATATTTGTTATGCTGCTGTGTCCGTTGTGTGCATGCTGCTCAGTGTACAAAACTCCTGTCTGTGTGTGGCAAACAGAGCAGCTACAATCAGGGGTATGCTCAGTCTGCATCTTATTCTGAGGAATAAGAAATGCAAAGAAAAATGCACAAGGATATAAGAAGGGCACGGGACTGAGATAGATGCCTGCAGAATGTCTGCCAGGGAATTCTGGGGTTTGAGAGCCTTCCTGCTGAAGGGGAAGGTATTTGAGAGCAATACCAGCCATTTGCCACAGCTGACAACACACTGGAGTCCAGCCTGGGTTTAGAGCCTCTGTAGAATTAATTGAATGGATCTGGTTTCAAGTCTCTTTCAGAGTAAATTAACAAAACTAATGTGGTGTTGGTGCCAATGTTCACAACTGCATCACGCGAAGCTGAAGCTCTGTCAAGCAGCTGCATTATACTGAAATGGGTGTGTGCGTGCATCAGCCACTGATGATGGCACTGGAGATTGCAGTCTAAATTCTTACATTTCACTGTCTATAAAAAAAGACTGGTCACTACCGGTGAGTCTTAGGACTAGCGGTCACGTATCTTTCCTTTGGTTAAACTGAGGTTTGAGATTTGTGATGCCTTTTTCCTTTGTTCAGGTGCTGTTCAGATCTGTTACTGAATCAGAGAGAGAAAAATTTTGTCCTTTGTTCTAGGCGAAATTAAGAGCTTGCTTGTTTGTGAAACAAAGAAAAGCTATTTGAAGATAAATAGTGGTGCAATACTGGAAGCAACTAGACTAAGTGTTGCTTGAGCATTGAAAATGAAAGGTAGTGGCACTGAAGAGGCAGGTAATTATGGCAGACTGTGAATGAGGAATTTATTTTAAGTTCAGGATGATTGTCTTTTTGTGTGTATAAAAGGTGACAGGAAGACGTATTGCGGTCTTCAGTTGCCACCGTACAATGTAAAACTATGCATACTGCAAAAAACCATTCTGTGCATAGAAGTAGTTCATCTATAGATGATAATCTAGATTGTTAGAAAATATAGCATCAAACAAAGAAAGGGTTCAATGGAATTCTGGAGTACCAGTAGGAGGGAAATGTATCTTGGAGCCGAAGTGTTGACGTGGCAGGTTAGAAACAGTTTTTTTTAGTCTTCTGGGTTGTTGGCCATGAGGCAGGAATCAGATCAAATGTTTCTTCAAGATGGAAGGGGAAGCAAATGTTCAGTTGTGGAATAAAGAGAAGAATACAACAGTGGGAAAGGAAATAAAAAACGGAGCAGAGTAGCACTGAAGCACCAGAAAGACACAGCACAGATAATGTGCTAAGTGCTCCTGGAAATAGCACAGCCCGTGTGAGTCTGCGTTCTGTGTAAGTGGATACTCAGAACTCGTGGGAGAGACAGTCAGTCGGTGTGCAGCCTGGGAACTGGGGGCAAGCACACAACCAAAAGTTTTGCAGATAACATTGAGACAAGCTGTCAAAGTGTTTTCCCTGTTACCAGCACGGATTCAGTTGTTCCACATAGCAGGGTTGGTAGCTGCAGTGCAGACATCGCCTCGGCTGGCAGGGTTTTACACCACATTGTTTAGAACCTACCCCATGGAAGCCAGGTGAAAATATTAGTATATAAATCAATATTGGTGTATATCCTAGGGCTGCTAATTTTGCCAAAATGCAAATCAGGTATTTGGGGGTTGTTGGTCTGGTTTCGTCTGGAGAACTCTTTTAAGGCAATGCAAAGAGATAAGGAGGGAAAGAAGGCTCTTTTTCCTAAAGAAGGCAGTCTCCTTTCTGTAACTGCTCTGTTATTTAATAGGATGTATCTGTTCTGCCAGATCCTGTGTTATAAACATTTTTTCCAACTCACTGAAGAGAGGAACTCCATTTTAAAAATACAACAGTGAGTTTGTGAGAGTGAGCAAATGTGTGTGTAAAGAATAGGGGGAAGGGGGAGAGAGACTCCCTCTACTCTGTAGCCACCATATCCATTGTATGATGCTGAGTGATTCGTAGAAGAGCTTTTAAGAATAAATACTTTGTTTCTTTGTATCTCATGCACTAACCTTTTGTGTTGTAATGAAGACCGGTACCTGGTTTCTTTCTGCTCCTGCTAATGATCTCTGGTGTTTGGATTTCTCTTCACTTGTGAGTGCACACAGACATGCAAACATGGTGAATTCCTTTTTTCACTAGATTCCACCTTCAGCCATTTCCATACTCAGTAAGTGGAAAATCCTTTCCATTGGAGGGATCTGGCTCCTCTCCTGGACAGCCTAGAGCTAAAGCTTGGATGGTGAGAGGTGGTGTAGGAATTAGAGAGTCGCCATCTCCACTGTGGTAGCAAACAGGTGGATACCACTTCTACAACACTTCTCCCTAGGTTCTGCTTAAATTAAAAAAATCAAATGGAGTTTCTTCTACTATGTGTAATATATCATTGTAGTTCCAGATCAGGCCAGGAGCTTCTGAAGAGGAGACCCCTGCCCCCTGCCCATTGTCAGTTTGGCAGGGAATATTGTTTTGTTCCAGAGTGGCTGGATGGAGCACAGGGGATAGTTGTGGTTGTCAGCTTTGGAGTTTGATTGCAAAAGTCACCAGAAAAAAGAATGACAATGAGATTTGTTATACTGGTGCTTTCAGACCTCACTTGACATCTTTGCTTTGTGTTGGAGGTTGTTGTTTATTTGCACTACAGGGAATGAATGTCCCCTTCCAAATTCAGCCCAGAAGGTCCCAAGGGCTCTTACTGGGAATATTTCTTCTTTACTTTCTTTCATTTGTGATAACATAATCTCCAAGCTGCCAGGAGAAATTCCTTAATTTCAGAGCTTTGGGGCTGGGATCCAAAAGGAAGGAACCTGAAACTGCTTCTTCTGATAAATCCCAAAGTATGGGATGCCATATGAAGCTCGCTGCCGTAAGCAGCCAGTAACTTCCACAGATATTTTAACTGTTAAAAATGGTGAGTTGTATTTCCTCTGGGCACAAATGACTTGGCTGTCCCATGTAGAATGCCCTGAGGCTGTGAATTGCAATCCAGAGCATCTTCAGGCTTCTGGTGCTCAGGGTTGTGGCGTTTGTTGTGCAGAAAACATCCCAGGCCATCTGCCCCGTCTGGATGTGCATTTCCACAGCTCCTCAGAGTGAGGAAAGGCCAAGAAGGTGCTGGGAAGGGCTTCCTCCCAGGCCTGGGCATCCTCAGGACACCGCAAGTTTTGTTTTTAAATGTTTGTTGTCTTTTGTTTCCCAGCCCAGGGCTAAGCTGGAGAAAAGGTGGAGAGAGTAGCAAGTGAGACCTCCCATGTTTCGATCCATCCTTGGATTCCAGGTTCTCCCGGTGGGTCTGTGCTGCCTAAGGGAAGGAAACGTTGGGAGTACCTGTTTGTTCACCTGAGCAGCTTGGAGGAGAGACTGAGCATGGAATTGCAGGGAAGCTGCACTTGTGTAGTGGCTGGAGGAGAAGCATCTTGCCCCACGTGTCTCTGTATGCCTCTGTCCTTACCGTGTGTTTGGCACTCTGTCCTTTTCTGTGTTCTTCTCCATGCCTCACTCGTGTTCCTTTTTATTCTCTGAGGTGCTGCCCGTGCCATTGTTCCTCAGAGGATCCTTGTGTCC